GTTGAGCTGGGACAATGTGTTACTGATATTTGTATCAAGGTAAAGTGACTAGTATTTGACTGGTGATGTGATCTTGACGAGACTGTCGCTAGTTCACTGTATGAGGAAGGATTGAGAGAATATGAGTGTATTCAAACATTAATTCAGACTATATTGTGAAATTTTGAGATTTTTTTTAAAGAAGTCTCATGGTTTTATTTTAAGTAAATGTTTTCTATCGTAATATATTTTAAAATGTAATTTATTCCTGATGCAAAGCTGAGTTTTCAGCATCATTACTCCAGTCTTCAGTGTCACATGATCCTTCAGAAATCATTCTGATACACTGATTTGCTGCTCAACATTTAAAACGGGATTCTTTGATGAACAGAACTTTCAGAAGAAAAGTTTTTTGTTTAAAATTGAAATCTTGACCCCAAACTTTTGAACTCTAGTGCAGGGTTTCTCAACCTTTTGCCTACTGCGACCCACTTTTTTTGTATGCCAGTCATAGGACCCACTAAGGCTGGAAATAAATAAATAACTGAAATGCCTCTTTAGACCTAGGCTAAACCGTATATGCTTATTATAATTAATTTCACAAAAACTTTCAATAATTAGACCGACTATGAGGCAAACTGATTTATTTATTTTATTTATTTATTAACTCACGTTAATGTGACATTTGAGACTGCCGCTCTGAAATGATGATATCCAGATGCGGTGGAATTCGGGAAAGGGTGAATCCAGTGAATCCATATTTAACATAGTCTGGGTTGTACTTGCCTTTGAAGTGGAAGGAGTTTCTGAATCTTCTGCTTTTTTTCTTTTAAAAAACGGATGCATTTAGTCAAGCTAACAGGCCGTGGCTCTAGCTGTGTCTCATTTAGAAGGCTGCGTCCTCCGGAGGTCGACCTTCTTTCACAGGATTTCGGAGGATGCATGAGGTGTATCCTTCGCTGCTACAGATACCCCACAATTCTTTGCGTCGCCGTGAACAACCGTTGTTAATTTGAAAAATGCCGGCGCCGGCAGATGTAACGTACACACAAGCAGATGTGGTGTTTACAACTTACCTTAATTCGCCTCGGTAAAAACGGATAAACTTTGTTTTAAATATTTTCTTCCTTTTTTTCTCTAATAGATGCCTGCTGTACGTACGCTGCAGCTCCTCAAACATTGAACAAAATAAAACAAGTAAAACCTTTTTTTTTTTCAAATTACTTTCCAAATTTAGAAATAATTTTCCTTCATTTAAGTAGTGTGAGAGCGCAACGATGCTCTAAATGTGTTGGCATAGCAACGCGATACTTCCGGTTTCCTTTTCCGCCTGTCCTACGAAGGCCGTCTCGTTTAATTCTAGGTTGAGGACACTTCGTACATGCATCCTACAGAGGATGCGACCTCCAGAGGATTCGACCTCCGGAGGGTGCAGCCTTCTAAATGAGACACAGCTTGTGTATAGTAGGTCTGGCATAGCAATGCATTCCAATCTCCTGCGCCGTCGTTACCAAGCAACGGGGTAAACAGCTGCTAGCGTGTGTAACATTACGTAAAGAGAGTAGGACCTTGTCCAATAAGACACGTTCGCGGCAGCGATAAATTATTGTGATAGGAAAGTTTAGAAACAGCGTTAGAAAGTTACGGCAATAATGATTCAACATGCGACATTCGAAAATACGATTCGTTGGAGGTCACTGTTTCAATGAGCCTTTTGTGAAGTGCACTTACTGTGCCGGTGTAACACCGAGAACACAGAGAAAGTCTCACGACTAGTAGTCTAGAACGCGCGCAGGAGGAAATATCAATAGAAAGTCTCTTGTCCAGTCAGATTAGAAGATCAGATTACAACTAGGCTAACTATTATACACACAGGCTAACGATAGCCTAACGATCTTATTGTCAGGTTTATGTTCTGTTATGTGAACCGTTATTTTGTTATTCACTTCTGTTTACTTCACTTCCTGTTTCAACGCTATTTGGTTTCGGTTTCATTGTCTTCTGAATATGACCTTGTTAGTTGTAACCCATACATACACAAATTATATATGTATATGTATGGCGATAATACCGCATACCGTGCTATTGAGCCACTCAAAATTACCGCAAGGGGACATGCTGCATACTACTTGAAATCTAGTCTGACCATTCAGACTAAGGCTTAGTCTAAATCAGATTTGAATCAGATTTCAAACCACATATCAATGCTGTTTGGAGTGTGTTTGCAAACATTGGATTCTATTTATTGTTCTGCTGTCAGTGCTACTAAAAAAATGGATTTGAGTTAAATATGCCAAAAAAAATCTGATTTCTTATCACTGTTGCTTCAATCCTTTAGGCCCGTCTGGTCTCTTTGTACTTTGACACCAAACGTTATCAAGAGGCTCTACATCTTGGTGAGTCCCTGACAAGACCATCCCTTGTTGTTGACACATTCATATTCTTAAGCTTGAGCGATGTAATTGCATTCTGTAACCACTGTCCTCTTCTTCCTCGTCAATCAGGCTCTCAGCTCCTGCAAGAGCTGAAGAAGATGGATGATAAAGCTCTGCTGGTGGAACTCCAGTTGCTGGAAAGCAAGACATATCATGCACTAAGCAACTTGCCCAAGGCCAGAGCGGCTCTCACCTCTGCCAGGACCACAGCAAACGCCATCTACTGCCCCCCAAAGCTGCAGGCTGCTCTAGACATGCAGTCAGGTACGTTTCTACAGTCCTTCCACAAAGACCCTCAGTATCACATCAAGTCCTAACCAGGCATGACACCTAATTTGTCCCTCCACACTGAAAGCAAAATTGTTGTTCAACATGATACAATTGCAGCCATTCAGAACATAATTACTTGTATTGTAACAAGTTCAGAACAGCCTGCAGTGAGACATTCACATGCATTGATAGAAAAGGTATTAACGCAACACACATGCACACAGTCTCAAATGCTTACTGCTTACTACAGTAACTGTTAATGTCCACTACGGTGGTTCACTACGGTTCTTCTCAGTGCTGCTTATAATGATACATCACCTCCACTTTGGTGTGTGTCAGTAGCAAGTGTGTTTAATCTGTGTCTCTTTTAACACAACCAAATTAATCATCACATATACGCGATTACAGTTGGAAGGTTGCAAATGCCCGAAGTAAAGTTACAGTGTCAGTTTCACACTGAAATAGTGAAACTACCTGCCTCTCAACCTGCCAACCAGCATTTAACTTTATATTTGCATACATTTAAGCGTTTTCCAACCTTTTTGATGCCCTCGGCCACTCTAAGTTCTTTCTCCAGTCCACTGTCAATCCAACAATTCACTGTGCAAGCTTCAAGATCAACTCCCATTAGAAAGAATTGAAAATATTTGCTCCACAGTCCACACCAGTGGACACTCACCATTACAGCATTAGCAGCCATACTTCATCCTGCATTAATGGTACTGAGCCATCTTCCTGCAAATGCTTAAATAATAGTTATGTGCATTACTTGAGCTAATTAAATGGAGGGAAAACCGATTGTGCGTACTATAGTGATTTACCCGATTTGTCAACATAGGAATTTTGGAGCTCATAATTCATTGTACTGAGAGCATCACATTATCTTTTTTTCCCCTTGCAGGCATTATTCACGCTGCTGAGGAGAAGGACTGGAAGACAGCGTATTCATACTTTTATGAGGCTTTTGAAGGCTACGACTCTATTGACAGTCCCCGTGCCATCACTGCACTCAAGTACATGCTCCTCTGCAAGATCATGCTCAACTTGTGAGTCCTGGGTTTTTCTAGTGTCTCTCACGTTTTCTTTTTTCCTCTCTTCATTAAACACTTTGAGCATGTTAAACCTGTATGTCTTTGTTTTTACAGGCCAGAGGATGTGCAGGCCCTGATCAGTGGAAAGCTTGCCCTCAGATATGCTGGCAGACAGGTAGATGACTGAGCCCAAGGGTCTTGTTCTTTCAATCTCATGGTGTAGTTTTTCCATGACCTCTGCAAGAAAACAGTCAGCAGCTAAGATCACATTATGATGTTATATGTTATTGTGTTTTTTTCGTAATAGTTTGAGGTCAAAATCAGATATGGTAATTTACAACTAACAAATCAGGCACGTTTTTGCATGTACCTCAATTTAAATGTAAATGTGAACCTTCCCATATTTAAGCTTTGCATATTTCATTGTAGTAATTAAGTGAACTTGATGGTCTTGTCGTAACCCCCATTTACACTTATGTTTGAAATTTGTGGGGGGGGTTTATACTTTTTTATATTTTTATTTTTTTAAAGAAATTAATACTTCTATTCAGCAAGGGGGCATTAAATTGATTAAAAGTGACAGTAAAGACATTTATAATGTTACAAAAAATGTTCAAATAAATTCAGAATTTTAAATAAATTCTGCTTTCTATTCATCAAAGAATCCTGGAGAAAAAAATGATTCACAGTTTCCACAAATATATTAAGCAGCACAACT